CTACAACGCGACTTGCAAAGATAAGCGGGGCTACTCTAAAAGACAATTTGATGTGCGTAAGCAATAATATTCACAATTTCATTTTATTACACCATCATTTATGTTGACTTTCATTCATATATATGTATTAACCCCCTTCTTCAAATTAGACGTGGGAGATGCGGAATGAACTCCTACCAGAAGATCGCATGAAAGCAATTCAAGAGGAATTAGCGGGATTCTTCCTTGACCACGTCATCAATAAAGACGGAGAATACCATGTGGAACTTGATTTCAGATGCTAGGGGATTGTAACAGATCTTACATATTGTATATGTATGTAGCCAGTAACGTCGGATAGATAATACGAAAACTTATTGTTCAACCAATCTGTCGGAGAAGGAGATCGATCACTTCTCTCGGTATGCATGACGAGCTTCTGTACTTAATAGTTTCCTTCATTTTCTTACTAGCTAGTGTGTCGAGGGCCTCTCTATACGTATAGTACGTAGCGTCGACCAAGCACGGAGATAAGATAGGACACTTGTCTCTATTAATTAATTAGCTACCTAACACAATATATGAAACACCTTAATTAACCATACAAAACCCCCAAATCCACCCCCCTTTCAAAATAAAAAACAAAACCCTTAGCCCCTGAACAGCTGACGTGTGGATGCCTATTGGTCCCGGTTGGTGCCACCAACCGGGACTAAAGGACCTCCTGCATGGGCTCGCCACAGCGGCCACGTGGAGGCCCATCTGTCCCGGTTCGTATAAGAACCGAGACTAAAGGCCAAGGGCATTAGTAACGACCCTTTAGTCCCGGTTCCGCAACCGGGACAGATGGGCCTTATGAACCGGGACAAATGGCCCTTTTTCTACTAGTGGTTCCATCCGGAAACACATTTCAAATTATTTACTTTCATTGGTCATGAACATTTTTCAGAAAGGAGGTTGAAGATAGTCAAGCGATGCACACAGTCATATTATTATATTATTCAACAATGTCGTACAACACAAAACATCAATCCTTCCGAATCGATGTTCTATGCGACAAAAGTCACTCCACCTACAAACTTGATGTAGCAGTGGTCATGATCAGGGACGCATACCCTGACCTCATCCCTACACATACCATCTAAAACCGGAGCATGGTGCAGCACACTCTTAGCGCACACTGCATGTGCACGCTCCTAAAGTCATCGCCGCTTTCTTCCACAAACCCATCTTTGCTACAGGGGTCAATGAAATAATCTTCTCATGTCTGCCGCGAGTGCCACCATGACACCACATAGTGCCACCGTTTTGTGCTTGTCCATCCTGAAAATCCCATCAGCGAGACCCGGCTACAGCACGCCACTGAGACTCGCCGACTTCGACTTGGAAGACAACGCCGCTGCACCTCATGAAACTTCCGGCTCACACATGCTCTAAAAAGACGATGGCCCCAGGATGGAGAACGACGCCACACACCACCATCGTCTGATCCACAAGACCGAGATCTAGGGTTTCCCCATAGTAGCGTGGGCGGTAAGAAGACAACTCCAACAATGATGCCTCCAACAAGCCAGAATGACGCAGATACGTTGCCATCATCCGCCATGACCGAAGTTGGCGTGGTTTTCACCGGAAGCGACACCTCCCCAAGCCCACATCTAGATTCCGATACACAAACCCCGGAGGGCTATGGATCTCTAAATCATGCGTCATCGACGCCGGAGAATGCTCCGGCCGCCACGCGCCTCCAGCGATGTACCAGGGAACTGGATCCCTTGATCTGCCGCCCTAGTCATCGCCACATGAAGCCACCTCTTGGCCCGCCATCCTTGACGGAGGGGATGCCTCCGCCGACGTATCCGGAGCCGCTGCTTCGGGGCCCTTGAGTCATAGATCTCTGCCGAGGCCTCCACCCCCTCGTTGTCGTCGGACGAGATGCCGCACCGCCTGGAGGAGCAGCCGTGGCAGTCAGATCTCGTGCTGCCACACACCTCCCCTCCAGGAAGCTACGCCATGGCCGCTGGACGCAAGACCCACGATGTCCCCTTCACCGGTGGCGTGCAGGGGGTATCCCGGCGGACACCTCTAGGTACGGCGAGGGGAGAGGAAAGGGCGGAGGGGGTGGCGGTGATGGGAACTAGGGTTAGCCCCCCGGTCGCCCTGGAGGTGACACGAGGGACTCGGGGGAGTAGAGTATCCATACTTTTTAATATGAAAATCTCAAATTAACCTAGTGACCTTACGCATTTTTGTTTTGATCATTTTATATTTCCTTCCCAATACTTGACTTGAGATGTTTTACTAGGTAGCTAGATATAGAAATGAATTAGGATAACTTGATTAATTACATATTAAAGTTTACAAAAATGGTTAAGACGTAGTGCTACTTTCTTAGCCATGCTAGCTAGCAATTTGTTCATGCATCGAAGATGAGATAGAGAAGTAGATGGATATAAAGGCGTGCACATGATAGATATGCATGCATAGATATATTATGATCTCGATCACAACATCCCATTTGCAGAGTAAAACAGGGGATATGCCGCGCACGGACCATCCTCCATCGTCTCGATATTTTTTGTTCTTATCAAAATTTATCTCATTCAAAGTATTATGTTTGTTTTCTTTCTTGTTTCAGCGTGTGTCATCATGTTTCATTGTGTACCAATAAAAAAGAATGCACTTGTTTTTTTTATCAGTTTTGCTGATACACAATGATACATCAAACTACACTTTGAAATGAGAAGAAAAATCAAATGTAATGCTTTGAAACAAGACAAATTCTGAAAACAATAAGCAAAGTAGCATGAATCTCAAAGTAACCACGGACGGTGAATCCGTGTGGATCTGTGCACGGTAGAATTACTTTTCTCCATATATACGCTGTATATAAACTCTAAGCTGTTGAGATTCGGGACAGCAAGGCAAGCAATGAAGAACAGTTGCACAAGAGGGAAATTAAGATGATCAAATGCCTCGAACATTTGGTGACTATCTATACTTTATGTGTTTTTCATCTGCGTGCGTATCAACGGCTTTATCTGAAAGATTCTGATAAAACCACAAATGGAATGTGTGGTTAGATAAGATCAAGCAAGGTATCTAGCCTTAGGCAATGGCGTGGCTTGCTGGGTGCCACATTGTGAGCATTTTTGTTTTGTTTTTGCGAGAGTCTATTGTAATACATGGTAGCAAGAGGTCTCTATCTCTATGCATGTGGCATGATCACTTTAGTTTTGACTTTCCTTTCCTTGTTTTAAAATATGTCTTTTTGTGATGTTTCTTTTATTTTCTTTCTTTTTGGCATAACTTGATTTAGTGCCTGTGCATATGATGACTAGTCGACCAATGCAATGTGGTACACATCTATTCGTTTGTGTAACATGTTGTACGATTGATTCTAATTTGGACATATACCCGCTTCCGCTTTTCGTTGTGCGTCACTGTTCTGGATTTTGTTTATATCTTGAGAATATTATAAGATACATATATTATATAAAATTAATCAATTATAACTTATGAATTACTCCAGTTCTGATACATCCTATTCTAACAGAGGAAGCTCAACATTAACTGAAAAAATAAGATTTGAATGGCAAAAACAATACAATTCCGCCCTCTCGGTTCAATTATAGAAAGCAACTCTTTTTTACATTATGTACGTATCTACGCAAACTCACTAGAAATACTAATTTAAATGTTATACTTAAGTGCATGAAAAGCTGAATAACTATATCAACATCCAATGCTGTCGTATGTGGACCAGGGATATGAAAAAGATTAGGGGATCTTTCAAACTTTGGTGGGATTCCATATTTTTCGGTGATTGGCATCCAAAATATTCCCACTAAATCTTGTTATCCCTCATCCAGTATGCATGCAATGTCCGCTACCCTTTCATCAAATGGACATATGCATATCATAATATAATTCACAAGGGTGTTATGTTCCATGGAGGTACATATTTTTTATGTCTTGTGGAGCATTCGAAAATTGTCCAATTTCCGTCGTTGCAAAACCTTTTTTTCCCTTGAATTTCCAAGTTTGAATAACAACTAGATCAATAAGACCTGATCAACCCTGCAAAAAAAGAGACCTGATCAGTTGTATGACATAAGGGTGATATCACTAAAAAGTGGTTTTGAGTACAAATAAAAAGTTTGAACTTTCAGTGTTACTTAGCCACATTTAAGTAGTTTAATTGTTGATCAAACTTCAATTTTTGTATCAGTGTGGCTGATTGATATGTTTGCATCACAGGAAGTAGTTTTGGACAAGAATGATTGGATCACTATGAAACAGGTGGGACACCTATAATATCATTATCTGAGATTTACATCAAGAACTAAAATGTCCATTTGAAGGAGAAAAGAGATTGGGAAGAAGACAATAATGTATCTTCCAAGCAAGAAGATTAGTGGAGCCTGGCTTTCGGTCGTGTAAGCTACCTGGTAGCACTAGAGCTGCATGCATGCGGTAGATGGAAGGAGGAAGAGCGGTGGAAGAGATGAGCTAGCATTTCTGTTAATGGGTCAGGTCTAAATTCAAGTCTTGTTTCTTTTCCCTGGAAATAGGTTTTATCCTTGTAATTTCCGAATTCTGAGCATTATATAAGTTTTATTTCCGTAAGGAAAATGGACCCAGGGAGCTTTTTATCCCTAATTTTTTTGTTGCATAAGGCAATGAGCCGTTGTTATACTAACAGTCATATGACAAGTGACAGAGATACCCCACGGTGGTCACTTTGAGCGTGCTATGCACACGTCGAGGATTCTTATGCCACCCGCCTCTCGCTCGCCTCGTCTCTCTCTCTCTCTCTCTCTCTCTCTCTCTCTCTCTCTCTCATGCGCTATAAAAGGAGGGCCTCGCACCATACTCTAAACACATCATACACAAGGCAAAACCACTAAGTAACACTAGCTTTTTTTCTCTGAGAAAAACACTAGATTTCTTTCCAGAGAAAAACACCAGCTTTCCAACTAGGTCCTTTCACAATCCATCAAGAAGATCGACGAGAAAATATGGAGAGGGTGACGAGGCTATCGACGGAGAAGGCAGTGGTGATCTTCACGCCGAGCAACGACTGCCCAATGAGCTACACAGTGACGACCCTCTTCTCTGGCCTCGGCGTTTGCGCGGCCGTGCACGAGCTGGACAAGGACCCCCGGGGCCGTGACATGGAGCGCGACCTCGCCCGTCGCCTGGGCCGCACGCCGGCCGTCCCGGCCGTCTTCATCGGCGGCAAGCTCGTCGGTTCCACCGACAGGGTCATGTCGCTGCACCTTGGTGGGAAGCTGGTGCCCATGCTCAAGGCCGCCGGGGCGATCTGGCTCTGAGCCTGAGAGGCTGAGAGAAGCATCAAGTTAACTCCCGCGTATAAGTACCGTTTATAATCAAAATTTTACACTGCATGCATGCGCGCGTAGAGAGGTTTGGTTTGTATTTTGCCTACTAAACCATCCTCACATGAGTACGTAATGAAGACGGGAGCACCAGAAGTTTTGGCCTCTATCGATAAGGGAATGACAAAGCTGCGTATCTTTATGAGAAGTGGACTTTTTCCCATTGCACCACGTTTTCAGGCTTATCTTTTCAGCACCGAGTTTACGTTTTGAAACCATTCACAAATAATGAACTCGTTCACAAATGGCCACGGCAGCGGCCAATCTCTTTGAACCTCGAGTTTTTTTTTTCACTTCTTTTTCTCCCTAAAAACCGGTCGGCAGAGTCTCCAAATTCATTACTAAATTCTAACTTTGCCCGCAAAATAACATTTGCCGAGTTCCATGATGAAACACTAGTCAAAAGAACAGCACTCTGACAAATCGCATGTTTGCCGAGTTCCTGTCATATGGCACTGGGACAAACACAAATTTTGCCAAGTTTCTACCACGCTACTGGAATCCGGATTTCACCGAGTTCAATTCATCCGGAGCCGAGTTGTTGATAATTGAGCTCCACAGTGACGCGCAATTCAGCAGACTTCACTGTTGGCCCTAGTGCGAGGAAAAACGCGAACGAAAGAAACTCAGCAGTGTCGCATATTCGCCGAGTTCTGCCGGATATAAACTCGGCAGTGCCTGCAGGTGGACCCCACAGACTACCAGGCCAGATGTGACGGCGATCTACGTTTGTGGGGTTTTCACTAACGGAAACTCAGCCAAAAAAAAAACTACTTTTCATTACGAAATTTCAACGTTCACTTCTATGGCGAGCAATCGTGGAGAAAAATCTGACATAGATCTGACAAGAGGGCCCGCGGGGTACCTGGCAATGGCTATTTGACGCACGGTTGGGATTCCTATGCCGAGTCCTAAAACACGGCAAAGGGCATACCCTTGGTCTCCCCACCCATATTAAATGTGGGGGGTGTGCGCACTCCTGGCAACCGCAAAAGCACTCGCCCACCCCGGTCGTCTCCCTTCTCCGATGCACCTCCTTCGCCGCACGGCCTCCTCCTCTCTCCCCGTCATGCCGCCTCCTGGTAGCAAATGCTAGTAGAAAATTGTTAAAATGCTAGTTGGAACCAAATTGTTTATTTGTTAAAATGCTAGTTAGAATAAAATTGGGGAAATGATAGTTAGAAGCAAACTGTTTATTTGTTAAAACAATTAAGTTAGATATCATTCATGCATGATGTTTATTTGTTACCAATATTGATAGAAACAAGTTAGTTGCAGCTATATATAGTTTGTTAATTGTTAGATAGTTAGCAAGATATTTACAACTACTGGTGAGTTTTAAAAAGGAAGCACAACCATGGCCTGGAAAGGGCCACAGATTGTCGATTGCTCCAGCGATGACGACACCCGCAACCCTGGTATAAGCAAGGATTCGAGTGCGCCGATGCCGTCCTCCGTCCTCTACACTTCCGACGACCTCGTCCTTATTGAGGTCATGGAAGGGCTGAAGGACCCCTCTAAGACCGACTCGGAGTTGAATTATCCCGAGTCAGAGGAGGAGGAGGACGGCAACAGAGACGACGTTGACTAGTCGAGGGCTAGGACTAGGCGTCGTCTCTCGGACGATGGCCAGAAGAGGCATCCAAGAAGAAGAAGGACTAGACACTACAAAACGCCGACTGTTTAGTGATGTTTCACTTGTGTCACGTAAAACAATTTTTCGTCACCAAAAATGCCCTGATGACATTTTTCGACCGTCACCCCCACCATCACTAAAGCGGTGGCATAGAAAATAAATTCTGGACGGCACCACTTTTTCCATCACGCAAGATCATGTCTTAGGTGAAGAACCCAAATTTGTCACTAACGGCCATTTTCGGTGACAGCCCAGACTGTCACCTATGGTTGGCCAATGTATCACATAAGATCATTTTTTGTGACGATAATCCGTCACCAGTAACCGGTCTATGGGTTTGACAGGTCAAATATTTTGACACATGGGGCCCACACTTGCTGGTGTGGTTGCTTCCATGTGGGTCCGCTGTAGGTTTTATCACCGACGGTGCCCGTTAGTAATAAGTCGGCATTAGTTTTGACTGGTCAACAACGCTGTCATATGGGCCCAAAAGATGCTGACATGGCTTCTTACATGTGGGACCATACATGGGTGACGTGGCTACTTACATGTGGGTCCATACACTAGTGAGGACATCCATAATCTTCATAGTTTGTAGACTCTAATAATTTGTTTTATATTTGACTTTGCTGCCAAATTGGAATAAAATTCATAATGTGTTCTCATAGCTTAGATTCAAAATTTGCGACATTACAAATAAGAAACATGGGACAAAGTATTGCACAACAAAATAAGACACTTGTCAGCTTCAACGACATCTTGCTGCTCTCGAATGGCCTTGATGACAGCTTTAGTTCTTCTTGCAGGTCTAATAGGCCATTACAACTTCTTCATTGCTGTCTACCAGTTCATCATTTTGCTCTGGCAGGGCCTTCTTATCAGATTCAACTTCTTGTTGCTGCTCTGCCAGGGTCGCCTTGATAGCTTCAAGTTCTTCTTGTTGCTTTTCTAGGGCCTTCTTGACAACTTCAAGGTCTTCCTGCTACTCTGGCAGGGCCTCCTTGGCAGGTTCAGGCTCTTCATGTTGCTCTACTAGGGCCTTGTTGACAACTTCAAGGATTTCCCAGTGCTATGGCATGGCCTCCTTACTAGCATCGGGCTATTGATGCTGCTATGCCAGGGCCTCCTTGCCAGTTTTTGCCTCTTCGTATACCTCTTCTAGGGCCTCCTTCCCAACTATAGCCTCTTCATGCTGATATGATACGTCCCTATTGACAGCTTCAGGCTCTTCATGTTGATCTACTAGGGCCTTCTTGACAGCTTTAGGCTCTTGTTCCTCTAGCAGGTCATTCTTGAATGCTACTGGTTATTTGTGTTGCATCTTGATAGGTCCAATTTCTTCATACTGGCCTACTAGACTTGCATTCAGCTCAGCATTTGTGAATTCCAATTCTCCCTAGAAAAATCATATATCCAGGTTATTGGTTTGGTTTAATATTTAGATATTGCACAACTCCAAAATATTAATGCATTTGCGACAATATACAGTGGCAAGGGAAACAAACACAGTATATGGATTTGAATATCCTATTTAAATAACTATTCAGAGGATAAAAAGTACGCTGACTAACCAGTTCAACCCATTTTTCTCTTCGATGTGCCTGCACTTTCCATAACGGTCATTTGTCCTTCATTTTTGTTATAAAAAATGCCTGCTATGATGTAATTCAACATATTAGATTATAATCTACATTTTGCACTACCTTTGAATGTAAAATTACATAAACATATTGTCACCAGAGTTGAAGAGTTTTCCTTCTTGTTGTCCTATAGATGTCTAACCAAATTTGCAAAATAGACCAGCTCCTCGACTACTGATTCAAATTTATCGTCACAGTGCATCGCTTCTTTGGTTTGAGACCCGTTATCCTTCTTGGTGACAGCTCCAATCCTGTTAGTGAGCTTTTGGTAGTTGATGTAAAACAATGATGAAAATTAAACACGTACGTACTTGCTATTGTATAATGTAATTAAACTAGTACTTTGTATAGTATCAACACAACTTACGCGGCATGTCTCACGACTCATGCAAAAGCTACCTTTATAACTACCTAGTTACGGAGTAGTGTTTGATAGAACCTAAGTGAGTCGATCCTCATCCTGAGAACATGTGAGGACCTCGGGTCTAGGACATGGCATATAAATTGTACTTGAGACTAATAGATGATAATATCTCGCTGCATCCCAAAGTGGGTCTGTCCGATTGGGTGATCTCCATCCCCGAGTCGTTTAGCATCTCTATGCCCATGACTTGTGAAACATAGTCATCAACCGAATCATATACTAATCAATGGGTATGTGTCCACATAACCTTATCAACTCGGGACCACTAGAACAATCATCATGCAATATATAGTTTCACAAATAAGTTACATACTTATTCATACGTATAATTGATGATGTTCAAGGACATAGAAATGATTCATGAATACATAGGGAAATCTAATCATCACATGATTGCCTCTAGGGCATATCTCGGACAAGGACATAACCACTAAATCAGAATAAGATACTAACAAAGTTTGTACAAATAATTTCCATGTCAAAAAAAAGTTTGGACAAACAAGAAGCTCATAAATAAAGTAGAAGGACTAACTAGATGGTAGTTAAGATCTTATCACATTGCATTTAATTAGAAAATCCTAACCATACTAGAACCCTAGATAGAATGACCAGTAGTCTTAACCTGGAAAAAAACCCTAAAAGTTAGTACTAGTATAGGTAACACAATCTTAGATTGCATCTCTAACTCAAGAAGGAACTAGATGCACAGATCCAGACGCATGTGTAGATTTGATGTGGGGAGGGGTGTGACCTCATCATTTAAGGTGACGTACTTGAGTACTTTTATCATTAGAGTGGATGGAGCACAACGGAATCTCTCGGTCATATCATGTGCCGCGAGGGGATCGAATGATTTATAGTGGCATAGCTAGAGCCGCTGGAGGGGGGGGGGAGTCAAGGATCTAGGTTAGAAGAGAGAGACAAGGAGGCGCTTTGTTTCTTGGAAGGATATGTGGCCATGGTTAAAAGTATAAGTTGTATTTAAGGAGGGGTGGGGTTAACCGAGCGGACCTTTCAAACGTACTTAAGGGAAGGAACATGTTTTAGGGAAAGGCTAGTTTGAGGGAATGCTATTCTAAGGCAAATTCAAGTAGGAGGGAAGGATTTTTTTAGGGAAATGCTAGTTGGAGGGAACACTATTTTTAAGGGAAAGGCTGGTTGGAGGGAACACTATTTCTGAGGGAAAGTCAAGTACGATGGAAGAATCACACGTACATGTGTTAAGTTGTACCAT